GAACTTGCACAATCAGTGGCTGACTAAATACTTTTTTGCCCAACTGTAAATATAACAGTCACATCACAACGGCGATGTTGAAATTATATCACACAGCCCTAATACATAAAAAGTGTCAAAAGTAGGAATGCAGTTGCTTTAGTGCCAATTATTGTGCAGGTGGCAAAGTTGTTACGATGTACTGCTGCTTCAATACACGAGGAAGATGCAGAAGAGTTATTCTTTGAAGCTATCATTTCAACTTTAATTTTAGCATATGAGATACGAAAATATTAACAATAAATATTTTCAAAACCAATAAGCAGATACTGAGGAGATTGAAGAGATTAAATTAAGGGTTGAAAATCCTCCAGCAAAGAATCCCAGACTCAAAGGTAGAGGGACAACAGAGGTTTGTGTGACATTGACAAAGAGGTTCAAGTAAAGAATACATAATTTAGTAGTTTTTTGTATAATTTAAGACAATTGTCACCACACTGGGGAAAAACATCACTTCTGTTAGTTGGAGTTTTAAACTGGGCAGTGCAGTAAAGATATGAGGTAATGAAGTAACACACTGAATCACATCGACCAGTCACCCTCTCTGTTGTTGTTGCTGTAAAACACATTTACATCCATTTTGTGCACACAAATATCTGCCAGCTTAGTGTCTCACTAACCTGGGAGCCTCTTCCACCACCTTCTGGTTCCTCCTCTGGATGGAGCACTCCCTCTCATTAAGCCACAGAGCATTACCATGTTTATCAGCCAACACCTGCCAAGCACACACATCGAGCACATCATGACTAATTGATTATTCATTATTAGAAATAAATAAAAAGTTACCAGGTCTCAAATCAGGGACAATAAAATACTAACATTTAATAAGAAGAAATACAATAAAATTTTCAAATTACAAACTTTATTTACATCACACCTTTTAAAAGCAAAGGTACAAAGTGCATTACAATAACAAATATAAAAACAAATACGTTAATTTAAAATATAAACTTATGTATAAACGTATGTATGTACACACATGGGAAAAAAATTGTTTGTACCCCTTGGTTAATGAAAGAAAAACACACAATGGCAACAGAAATAACTTGAATCTGACAAAAGTAATAATAAATAAAAATTCTATGAAAATCCATCCATCCATC